TGATGGGAGACAACTTTGCCAAGACCATGGTGAACTATTGTCCATCAGAATATATAGAGTTGGACAGATTGATTTTGTGTCGTCTTACTTTATCACCAAGACTGGCTCTCACATCAGACAGAATGAACCTTTATCTCAAGTGGCAGATGGGAGATAATGGTGGATTAGATTTCCTCCCTCTGCCAAATGCGTGTCTGTTTTGCTTCATGTATAGAAGGTGGTCAGTATCCTGTTGTGTAGCTTCACCTGCACAATGGAGGTGATTTCACAGGCAGTGGTAGATTGCCATTAACTAAACAGTTCCTTTAAAAAAACATTTCAGGGTGTGTGCAACTTGCATACAATGATATGAAGTTGTGAACACCATGAAATTTTTAAAAAGGAACTCTTTAATTAGTGGCAATCTGCTAGTGACATATATATAAAAGAAAAGCTTGTACATAGTATGGATATGAATGTTTATTTTCCTCTGGGTAATGAATTATTTATTCCAGCCAATACCTCCACCTGCACAACAGAAGTTATGTCACTAGCAGATTGTCACTAATTAAAGAGTTCCTTTTTAAAAATTTCTATATAAAGCTTATATATACAGTAGCTTATACAGTACGGATATGAATGTTTTATATATATAAAAACATTCATATCCGTACTGTGTATATAAAGCTTTTACACAGTACGGATATGAATGTTTCTTCTGCTCTTTGTAATGAATTGTTTATATATATATGTTGATTAGTTCCTATATCTAGTTACTTTGTGTGTGTGTGCGCGCGCGCGCCCGCGTGTGCATGTATGAAGTAAGCTTAAATCAAGAGTCAAAATGGCTTTAAAAATAAACAAGTTCCATGTCCATTGCAATACTGGAAAATCATAGTTATAAAAGACGTGCTGGCACTGATATCAGTCATCTGATCCAGTTGCCTATGATTCTGATTCTTAAACTTCATTCATTTAATACTTCCATGTGAGCTAGGAGCAACTGGCTTATCCTTCCCATTCAATTTACTCTCTACAAAAAATGTAGATTAGGTGGGAAAGCTCCATGCAATGAACTTTGTCCATGTGTTTGCGTGATTCATAAAGATCACCCTGCAGTGTGGCTCACACCATGCAAAAGCATTTGCCATGCATCTCGCCACAAGTCTAATGGTTAGGGAGCACTGAGAAACTCCTTCATGTCTGTGGTTTTAGAAGAGGTAGCCGTGTTAATTTGTGCAAGCATATCAGGCAAAATGCAAAGAAAAATTAAAAATTAAAATTCGTGTGCCACTTTAAAGACTGTTGTATTTTAAGGTGAGATTTCATGGACAATTCTACTTCTTCAGACATGTGGAATAAAATACAGAGATCACAAGTAAAATATTAATGCGGACTTTAAGAATCAGTGCTGTATGGTTGCATCTCACATGTGTAGTAATTTATGACCTATGTTTGCTGTTCAGTCCTTTTGAAGTCTGGTTTTATAAACATTCCCACAAGAAAGAGAAAACAGAAACCAAGACAAGAGCAAAAAAAAGGGGGGGGGAGAGAAAGGGTTGGGGTGGGGTTTATTTTTTAAAATTTTTTGGTGGTACTGTGAAGGAAGAACAATAGTGAGCAATAACATGATTAAAGGAGACAGCAGAGGAACAATTTGTGTTAGTATACAGACTATTAAGTTTTTACCTTTGAGCCTTGTACTAAAAGATGGATCCGGTAGTTGTGAAGGAAAATTATAGTAGATAACAGCATAAGTATTGTACTGTATTTGGTAATGACTTCAGAAACCTTGACTCATATTCAATCCATTTATATGAGTGTCCATTGTGGATGCACATTTTATCAAGCTGTTTCCCTCTGTATTCTTGTCCTGTAGTGTTTCTTTTCCAAAACAGCAACTTTCATATCTTGCAAAGAGTGTCTTGGTAGGCTGAAATAGTTGTAGACAGGTTTCTGTATATTGTGGATTTTGATGCTTAATTTATGTCCATTTATTCTTTTGTGTAGAGATTATCCTGTTTGTCCTATGTAGAGTGCAGAGGAGCACTGTTGACAAAAGATGACATAGATCACATTAGCTAAGGAACAAGTTGAAGGTGCCCTGATGTTGTGTGTGACGTTGTTAGGTCCTGTAATCATGTTGCCAGAATAGATGTGAGGGCACAGTTAGCATTTGGGTCTGTGACAGGGTTTAGTTTCCATGTCTGTGTCAGCGTTGTATAATCTGTTGTCAGTAATTGTTTGAGATGGGTGCGTGTGTCTGTAGGTACAGGTAAGTATAAGGTCTGCCACCAAGGGCTTGGGTGAGTGAAGTGTTCTTGCTGAGGATGGGTTGGAGATCACTTAAGATGTGTGTGAGTGGTCTCAGTTGTGGCCTAAAAGTAACAACTAGCGGTGTTCTGTTGTTTTCTCTTCTGGGTCTGTCCTGCAATAGGTTACTATTTTACTTAATTTTTTTTAAATAAACTATAACATAAAACACATAAACCAAAATACAAATCAATTGTGTTCCTCACCACCCTAGTTGGGACCTCTTGCAGTAATCTTCTTCCATTGTCTTTCTTCTTCTTCCTTTATTGTCCTCTTCTCCAGAACTGCATTGATTCCTGGTTTGGAAGTTTCCCTTTTCCTCTTGTTAGCACATATTCAATAAAACTGCCCCATATCTGTTTTGCTTTGTTGCTTTGTTCCTTTTTCATATCGGGTGGGTGTTGTAGTCCAGTTAATGCATTTTGTAGATCCTTGAGTTTGAAGTCTCTATCTCAGGGGTTCGAGGAGATGCGAATGTATCTGAGGGTTTGACTGTAAACAATGGATTTTGTTGTGTGTTTAGGAAGCTGGAAGCATGCAAGTAGCTGCAGCGATTGGTGGGTTTTTGGTGCTAAGATGTCCATATTGTAGCTTTACGGTGGTGTCTAGAAAATCCCCCTGTTGTGTAGATTGCTCCAGGGTGAGGCTGATGTTTGGGTGAAATCCTGGTGGAATTTCAATAGGGATTCAGATCTGGTTCAGTCTGAAACTGTCAGGCAAACTGTCTGTTAACTGTATATATGCTCTGGAGGGAAAAGCTATCTTTTGGAGAGTTTCTAAATACCACTTTTGCACAAGATTGAGAAAATGATTGTATCTACATTTCCTCTATAGTGGAAATCCTTCAAGAAAACTGAAGTCTTTATGTAAATGTATGCTAGAATTTCAATTAGCAATTGAAATGCTAATTACCTAATTATGCAGCTTAATCAAGCCAAGCTTACACTCTTCCCATGTTGTCATCTCAGTGAATGAGAGACTGACTTGCCTTTTGCTAAGTGGGAGCTTGCTTGCTTTTCAATAGCTGTGGTCCATGCAGTGGATCGGCCTGACATTTCCTGACTTCCAGAGCCACTGACAACACTGGGAAAGGAGGAAGGGAGACCTAATGACAGACTTAGTAGCTGCCAATGGCTCAGAAAGGTTGAGTCTAGTTTGTGCTGTCCAGATTTGATGAGGGTACAATTGTACTAGGCTCTCTTTGTGAACCCCAGAGGTGCTAAGTAAGGACCAAGCAGGGCTGAATTTGAGTAAACATGAAACCCAACAGCAGGTCCAGCTCCACAGGCAGGCTCTTGGGGGATCGTCATAACTTCCAGCAGAAATAGCATTTCATGCAAGGAGGGACAAAGGGCCTGACAACGACTAAGCCTGGTGGCCTTTCAAATGGAATTGTGGGACATTTAAAGTTACTTAGGGCTAATGGTTGTTGTGGGTTTTTCGGGCTTCTGGCCGTGTTCTGAAGGTGGTTCTTCCTAACGTTTCGCCAGTCTCTGTGGCCGGCATCTTCAGAGGACAGCCTTCGTGAATACATTACTTAGGGCTGTTCACCAGGGCACAGCTGGCCTGGGAGAGTGGCTTCTTCTTTCTCCAAAATGGAACTCTTGGGGGGTGAACAGCCTGGAATTGTCCAGTCCAGCCTCCTAATCGGAAACACCAGAGCTACTACGCTGGAGTACAGCGTTTGGCAACATTTCCTCCTCCACATTTGCCCCAGTTCGATCCTGGGTTCAGTAAATTCTGGGCTGTCAGACAATGGGGTCATATGCGAATCTGACTCAAAGCTGCTACCAAAGTTTGAAAGCATTTAAAAATAAGATTCTACTTCCCAGAATTCCCAAGCCAGCATGGAATTAAAAAAAAAGCAACATTCCTTTGCCCTGAGCACATTCAAGTCTAGAACTCCAGAGGCCTTGCTTGGTGCTTGGAAATGAAGGCCAGAAGGTGCCTCTGCTTTGGTGTAGGATGATGAGACCCATGCAGAGCAAACCAGCTTTCCTTGTTGGCTGCTTGGCTGTGCTGATGTGCTCTTTCTCAGCTGCTGCCCAGCAGAGAGAGAGGAAGGAACCAAGCAACACTGCCTTTCAGGTAACCTTGGCATCCCATGCCGTGTTAGCTGGGGAAATCTCGCTTCTCGCTCGTGGTCATAGTATGCCAATGAACACTTGTCTCCCAAAAATCAAATGTCAAGAACATAAACCACATAAATCCACGGCCTTTTTCAAACTAGGAAAATCTACTGCCTTTTGCAAATCAAACCTATGAAGGACTATCTTGCTGCCATTCTGTAAAGCAAGAATGCAATCGTAAGAAGTAGGGGAACAGTACATAATATTTTCTGTTACTTTTTGGCTGGAACTATTTCTAAGTGGTTGGTGCAAGTGTGCAGTGTCTTCTTTTAACCCACAATGTTTTGCAGTCAGAGAACTCTGAAGTTAGAAAACTGCAAGGGCGAAAGTGTGAAGACGGCTCCTCTTTGAGAGCGTCCTGCATGGTAAGGGCTCAAGGTAGCCTTCTTAGCCCGGGGAGGCTCCGCCAGCAGCTTGGGGAGTCCCACAATGCCCAAAAAGCATCAATTCACAATCTTAAGTGGTTTCCTTGGTAACAGCTGTTACCAGTTTTCCACCAATCAATGGCAAGCGGGGCTGGGAGAGTCAGTGTCCTACATAAAGAGTCAGACACATTAGCACGCTCAGTCGAGGGCTTATTCCCTCTGCGGACAGGCTCACGGAAGAAGCCATGATGGCTAAAGGGATAGGAGTCCGGCCTGCTGCACCCAGGAGGTGGACCTGTTCCTTTGCGGCTCTCTTGCTGCTTTGCCTGGCTGTCCAAGCAGGTAAGGGGAAGGGCTGTTGGGACAGACCATGGCTGGGTGAACAGGTTAGGCTGAGATGCCACGAGGACCATTTGCGATGTAGCGTAGAGGGGGTGTGTGGCTCAGAGCCACAGAAGTGCTCAGAAAGCGGGACTCATGTTGCTCAACTTGTAGAAGTGTCAGGAAAGAATTTTTTAAAAGGCATTTTGCAAAACCATCTCAGCCCAGGCAATGCCATCATTAAACAACCACTGAGAACAGAGAAGAACAGAATCTGATGTTCAAGCACCATGTCTATTACCACTATACGTTTTGGTCTCTGTGTTTAGTAACTCAAGTAAATGAGGACCATGTCTGTACCGCACCTCAGAAAATGTGTTTATACTGCTGACCTCAGGGCATGGGAGAGTTTCCTGAGGTTACACAAAGAGCCTGCCTGAAGAACGAAAGCTACTTTGTTGAAGGTGTGGGGTTACTCCCAAGTTACTGGACCTTACTGCTAGAGGACAAGACTAACAGGTCATGTTAATTTAACTTGTGAGTACACTGAAATGGTAGCGCCTAGCGGACACTCATTACAACCTTGACCTTGAAGGTTCAGCCTGTTCCACTCTCTGTTCAGAAACAATTACTGATAATTTAAACACTGCCCAAACTATTAGTACAAGTGAGATATTGATTTCTTTACTGGCTTCATTATAACTGTAGTAGAAAAGGAGGAGGAGGATAAACCTGAATGATGATAACAGTGTGTGTGTGTGTGTGTGTGTGTGTGTGTGTGTGTGTGTGTGTGTGTGTGTGTTTGTGTGTTTGTTTGTTTGTTTGTTTGTTTGTTTGTTTGTGTTTGTGTTTAACTGTATATCTATACTTAGAAAATGCAAGACAACGGAGAAAATACAAAATATTCAGAGAACATAGTAGGTTTAAGAGAGAGAGAGAGAGAGAGAGAAAGAAAGAGAGAATGAGAATGAGAGAGTAAATATCCTGTATTTTTATGTTCAAGATATTTTATATACAAATGGAAAACGTCCGGTATTTTCACTGTTGAATTTTGTGCAGACCTTTTAGAAAAGCTGCCTCTCTCATTTCCAATCTCCAACTTAGCTTGGTTTAAATGTGCCGTGTGTGTGTCCAGAAACAGCTAATCCTCTGTATGAGACAAGGATTTAAAAGATATAATATGTGAGCCAGATTCAATGCAGGCATAAGAAGGGGCAAAGTGGGTGCAAAAAATCAAAGGCGATGTTACGGCTCCCTGCCTTTCTGAGCCGTACTGCCCATGGACAGGAACACACAGAAGTTCATCACTAGAGCTTACCGGACAGCTTTTACGAGCTCGTATCTAGCTTAGTATCATGTAGCACCCCCCTGCTTTGTGCTATGAATGGGGGTATTAGGAATGAGACCTAAGCATTGTGTTTGGTTAAATGTGTTACGGAGAAAGGTGTTCAATGACAAGTTTGAAGGATGGAATCATGTCACAATATTGTTGTTGGTTTTTTTCCCCTCCTCACTCAGATTTTAAAAGGAGGTTGGTCTTTTGAAGAAAATGTAACGACCTCTGCTTTAGTAGAGCCAAAGCAGGAGGTAATCTCGTTCACATACTATGCTTAAATGTGCAATAATAAATCGATTCTGTCATGTGTTGGAGCTGGTAGACTGGTTCACTCAAAGAAACAGCAAACTGAATTAAAATAAATGCAGGGAACCACAAAGAAAGTCAGACCGGGAGGTGGATTTTTCACTCTAAAGCTGAATAAAGGATATTTTGCAGCAGCAAATTTGTTTTCCTTGCATCGTCTATGGAGCAAAGAGTTACAATTGCATTCCTTTTACAAGAAACATCAACAAAAGTGATGTTTTCATGGGAACTGCCACGTTCCTTGCCTTTCCCTTTAAGCAGCTCTTTTCCCACCCCATTGCGCTTCTTTGTCTGTAGCGGGGGTAGGATTGCCTTTGGATTTTAACCTTTTATCCTTGCCCAAGTTAGACTGGGCTGCAGAAGCAAGCCAAGATACAGAGAATATGAACAGGCTAAGCTTTCTTTCCCCAGGGAGGCAGAGAAGTGTAACTTGGCTCACCGCAAGCGTTTAATTCATCTGGTGGCAGTGATTTCATTGAGTTAATGATGGCTGTGAAGCTGCTGGCACAGATCCAATTCCCAAGAGTAATAAAACGAATGGTCTGATACCCACAAGAGCTAACTAGGCTTAGGTGTCACAGGAAGGGGGAGGCATGTGTGTAACTTTAATTACCAACCTTTGTGTGAAGAGAATCAGAAGGGTGCAGATGTGGTACAGCCTTGAAAGATTTTTGTGGCAGTCTTTGCAATTTGGACAGGCTTTCTAGAAGCCAGAGACTTTTTGAGACATACCAAAACTTTGAATATACTTGCCTTTGGTTTCATTAAAATGTAATTAGTTCATCGACTTGGAAAGCCTGGAGTTGACCAAAGACTAATAATCCAGGAAATATAAAGAAATATAAAAAAGAACATGTCACCTTCCTTTCACTGGGACAGCTAAGCTCATGCCTTGGCTGGATTAGATCCATGAGTTTCATTAAATGTGTTACAGTGTGCTACCCATATGCACTGCAGTGCTTGTTGTGCACATCACACTATATGTTGCTGTGTGCTCCGCTTTCTTAAATGTGTTATGGTGTGATCTGCAGTAGCCCTGTTGGGATTGGTTTCCTTTGGATGGGGGAGTATTTGATACTTTTTTAAAAATATGTTTGATTTATTTACTATAGAGCATAAAAGGAGGCAAAAAGCTAGAACGTCCGTGAGGCAGCGGATTCACTACAACCACCCTTCATTGTAATACTTGCACCAAATCACACCTGTTTCTCAGCTTATGTTTTCTTAGCAGCCAACCTCTCTGTTCTCACACATATGCCTACCTGTAACCCTATCCCTACATCACATATGTATCTCTCCTTACCTACAAGTGGGTAGCTTTCTCTAAGAACTGATATCTATTTTCTTCAAAACTCTCAAGCAAGTTTTCCAGCTATCAGGAGACTGTATTTCATTAATGAGCTCCAAATAAGAAGTTGAAGGTTTGCTCAGATGGCATGAAAGGTGTGTGTCTGATTGTATTGGAAAGCGTTGCTTGGCTAGGAGTGGTCTCCCTTAAAGTGACCCTTCCATCCATTGATGAATCACTCCAGCCTGGCCGTGATAAAGAGTAGCCCTATTAATGGACCATAAAGATCCAGCTTCGGCATGCATTAGGCTTTGGCTGGAGAACTAGTGCCCCATATGTCATGCGATCACTGGGAAATAGATTGCAGTAGACTGTGCCCCAAGCAATCCATAACATGAGTTTATATGCCCATACAATCACACTCTGAATGGCCATTCTGGCCTACTGTATGAACAAGAAAATAGCCAGGCAGAAGATGTAATGATGATCTCCTGTACTTTTCTGTTCAGTTTTAAATGCCATCTGACCAATAAGAGACTTCAGTGGCCATTACTGTTGGGCACAAATACATCCCCATCAATGGACCTTTATGGCTTTTCTTAAGAGTAGTTAAGAATCTAACAGAGTTTAGGTAGGATCTTTGAAAAGGCCCTAACTAATGACAGATAATAATTAAATCCTAAGAGGGCATGATTCTCTGGAGAAGACAATAATGCTGGGAAAGGTTTCAGCAAGAGGAAAAGAGCAAGACCAAATACATGATGAATTTACTTTCTAAAGGAAGCCACATGTTTGAGGCCAGGAAAAGAGAAAGACCAAATACATGATGAATTTACTTCCTAAAGGAAGCGACATGTTTGAGGTTACAAGAGCTGAACATGGCTGTTGAGGACAGGACACTTTGGAGATTGTTCCTTCATAGGGTTGCTATAAGTCAGAGATGATGTGACGCAACATCATGTAACAACAATTATAGCTGGAAGGGACCCATGACCAATCAATCATCATCATCTTAGAACTGCAGAGCTCTAAGAAGGGACCTTATGGATCCTAGAACTCTGTCAGGGAGGCTCAGTGGGGAATTGAACTCCCAACCTCTGGCTCCATAGCCAAATGTCCAAACCACTGAGCTATTCATCAGTTCATAAGTGATAATAATGTAATGGGCAGCAAATTGTAAATGAACCCTTTGTAATCTCAGTTTTAAAATGAGGTTACAGTGATGGGTCATCATGCCTGCGCTGCACCATGAACCCAATGCAGAGGGCTCCATAGTCACTAGCTTCAGTTAAAGTGGGTTTCCATCCACCATTGTAAGTCATTGTGCATTGGTTCTCAACCTTGGGGCCACCAGGTGTTCTTGAACTACAACTCCAAGAAATCCTGGCAAGCACAGTTAGTGGTGAAGGTTTCTGGGAATTTTAGTTCAAGAATATCTGGGGACCCAAGGTGGGGAACCACTGCTGGAGCTTTATAGAACTGGGACAATGAGGAACTGAGACACATTTCCAGTTAAGTATAGCTTTTGGCATGCATTCATTCTATGGTTTCAAAGCTGTAATTTGGGGTGGGGGGAAGGGAAGGAAACCTCTCCTGCTATTAGAGGCACAGACTCCCATCCCTATTAAATGAATTAAACAAACTGCAGTGTAATAATAATGATTTGATTGCTCCAAACTAATGTTGATTCCAGCCAGTTTTCAGTCTAGATGAATGAGTGACCATAATTAGTTGAAGAGGAAAATGCAGACATTCAACCTTCGCCTTGTGGCCACAGCCAGAAGTGGTGGAAAACACACAAGTCTACAGCTCACCTACGCATGTTCCTGTAAAATCCATTTATATTCAGCATCACATCCAGCCCACAGCAAGATTCACGGAGGAGAAAATGGGACAGCTTGCACTAGGCCAAACGCAGCCCAACCCAGGAATATTCTTCACAATGGGAATATTTCTAATCCATGATTAGCATCACTGTGGGCAGTAAAGACGTAAGCAAAACTAGTGCTTGGGAAAAGTAACTTGGTGGACTACAGGTCTCGGAATTTCCTTGTAGTCTGACAGGAAACATTTTTAAGCTCTTAAAATTGTCTTTGGGATAAACTCAATTTTAAGCGATCTAGTATCTCCCTATAGACATACACGCTTCCCAGCTGATGCCTCTCTTTAACCAGCTTGTGTCTTCTTGGTCCAGTTCTCTTATGTTATTCTATGTCACGCTCTCTGCAGTCCAGAAGGCAGACCTCAGTGGGGATCCCACCGTGGCCACCATCAACCACTCCCTGTCCTTGCTGCAGCGGCTGCAGGAGCTCTTGAACAATGGGAATGCCAGTGACACCACCTTGCGGGTGCGCACCTCTGGCTCAGACGAAATCAAGGTTTTCCACACCCACCAGCTGATGCTCAGCTTGCAAAGTGAGATCTTTGAGAGCCTCCTGCACAACCAAACTGTGCTCACCCTGCATGAGCCACCCGACGGCGCTGCCCTGTTTGAAAAGTTCATCAGGTAAGGGCTTCAGCCTAGCTTTTTCCTGATCTAAATCAACCCTGCTGCATTTTCCTACTGGAGAGTCATCTTGGTGCAGTGATACGGCCTCACCTTGAGTATTGTGTCCAGTTGTGGACACCGCCCTTCAAGGAGGATGCTAACGAACTGGAACAAGTTCAGAGCAGGGTGACAAGGATGGTCAGGGGGCTGGAAACTAAGCCTTGTGAGGAAAGGCTGAAAGAATTGGGCATGTTTAGCCTTGAGAAAAGAAGACAGAGGGGTGATACGATAGCATTTTTCAAATATTTGGAAGGCTGTCATACAGAGGAGGGGCAAGGTCTGCGCTCGATCATCCCAGAGTGCAGGACATGCAGCAAAGGGCTCAAGTTACAGGAAGCCAGATTTTGGTTGAATATCAGGAAAAACTTCCTAACAGAGCCGTATGACAGTGGAACCAGTTACCTCGGGAGTTGGTGAGTGCTCCAACACTGGAGGCATTCACGAAAAACTCAGATAATCACCTGGCAGATATGCTTTGATTGTATTCCTGCATTGGGTAGGGGGTTGGACTTGATGGCCTTGTAGGCCCCTCTCCAACTTCACTTTTCTAAGATTCTATGAGTAAGTTTGTTTACGCAAACCTCTCCTCTTGTCTTTAAATTAAGTCAAAACTGAATTCCAGTATTTTAAGAAGCAGCACTCTGTACTTATAGTTCATGTACCACTGCTAGGATGCCAGGTTTTCTTATCACTAACAACTCAGCTTTCCTCAATCTCCATCAGTTCTTCTGTAACTATGACATACCATCTCCTACTGACACATCCGCCACAGATAATATGCTTGTGACCTTCCATAGAATCATAGGATAACTGAGTTGGGAGGGGTCTATAAGACCATCGAGTCCAACCCCCTGCTCAAGGCAGGAATCCTTATCAAAGCAGATCTCACAGAGGGTTGTCCAGTTTTTTTCTTGAATGCCTCCAGTGTTGGAGAACTCACCACCCCTCAAGGTCCACTGTCATACTGCTCAAACAGTTGGAAAGTTTTTCCTGATATTCAGCCTAAATTTGGCTTGTTGTAGCTTGACCCCATTGCTGCATGTCCTGCACTCTGGGATGATTGAGAACAAATCCTGCCCCTCCTCTGTGTGACAGGCTTTCAAATATTTGAAAAGTGCTGTCATATCGACACACTAGTACTAATTTTGGACACTCAATCTTCCCCTTATCCCCCTTTCCTTCTTATCATAAATTGGGGTGGTCAAAGTATGCATCTGGAGGATGTCTACCTCTAACCCCAACCCATTTTAACATTTTCTCTCTTTTATTCAGAAAGTTTCTTTTCTTTACGGGAAGGGGGGGGAATTTCACCATATTTTCACCCCTTTAGCTGTTTCAAATTAAAAGGCACCTAGAACAAGTCAGGAGTTGCAACCATAAAAATAATGGTATTCCTCCACCTCAGCCACTAAATGGTATGGGGAGATTACCAAGTTGTGGGAGACTCAAGTGTAAGTATAGCCCTCCAAACTCAGGATGGATGCGGGGCATGTGTCTTCTCCAGAACTCTGAAAGTTGCCTATCTTTGTCACAAATGCTAAATATAGCTCCTGCAAAAATATAAATGTCCTGGTTAGAACAAATGGGCTTTTTGTTTCTAACACGTTGGAACTAAGTGTTTTGGATAGCTTGACTGGTGTGACACAAAATACTGAAGGCTCAGAATCACTCCTCTGTCACGGGCGCAAGGGTGTGTCCCTTCCCTGGCTCCTAATACTGGGCTGTCTTTAGACTGATCGGGGATCAGCTTAAGCCCTACTTTGTGGTGGTCTCTGTTTCCCCGAAGAAAATACTTCACTCTTCTCTCTGGTTATATTAGAATCTCTTTTCAACTATCCAAATTACCGGTAGGCCTTTGTGACTTACTATTGTAATGTGAACTTAGGACTAAAGATCCATTTTAGACCAAATCTGGAAATCTTACATGAATCTGAGCATAAATCCTATGACTTCAAGTTATAAAAACTATTGTCTATGCCCCAGAAATGTCTGTGCCACGGAAAGTCAGACAGTGAGCATGGCTATTATGTAATGGACAGAGCAGTCCATACCGACTGTGCTTGCCTCCTTTCTCTAGATATTTATACTGTGGTGAGATCTCCATCCTCCTCCATCAAGCGATCCCACTTCACCGATTAGCCAGCAAGTATCGGGTCTACAGCTTGCAACGGGGGGTGGCCGAGTACATGAAGAGCCGCCTGGCCAGTGAGTCCAACCAGGGCCATGTGGTTGGTTGGTACCACTACGCAGTGAGGATTGGTGACGAAGCCCTCCAGGAGAGCTGCCTCCAGTTCCTGGCTTGGAACCTCTCTGCCGTGATGAGCAGCGCAGAGTGGGCTTCGGTGAGTGTCGATCTGCTGCTCCTGCTGCTCGAACGGTCCGACCTGGTTCTTCAGAGCGAGCTGGAGCTCTACACTGGGGTCGAGGACTGGGTTGCCACACACCAGCCCGAGGACTCCGTCGTGGAGAGGATGCTGAGATCCCTGCGCTACCCTATGATCTCCCCCAATCACCTTTTCCACCTGCAAAAGCAGTCTCCGGTGATGGTCAAGCACTACAGCGTTGTCCAGGACCTGCTCTTTCAAGCCTTCCAGTTTCATTCTGCTTCGCCAATCCATTTTGCCAAATATTTTGATGTCAACTGCAGCATGTTCTTGCCCCGCAACTACCTCTCGACCTCTTGGGGATCCCAGTGGGTCATTAACAACCCGGCTCGAGATGATCGCAGTACCAGCTTCCAGACCCAGCTGGGACCTAGCAACCACGACTCTGCCAAAAGGGTGACTTGGAACGTCCTCTTCTCCCCCCGTTGGCTTCCGGTCAGCTTGCGCCCTGTCTACTCGGACTCTGTCTCTGGGGCCATCCAGTCTATCAGGATCGAGGATGGGCGTCCCCGCCTGGTCATCACTCCAGCCACCACCAGCTCTGACTTTGCTGGCGTCAGTTTCCAGAAGACCATTCTGGTAGGTGTGAGGCAGCAGGGCAAAGTCTTTGTCAAGCATGCCTACAGCTTCCACCAGAGTACTGACGAAGTGGCCGATTTCCTGGTACATGCCGATCTGCAGAAGCGCACCTCTGAATACCTCATTGACAACTCTCTGCATCTGCATATCATCATCAAGCCAGTCTACCATTCGCTAATCAAGGTCAAGAAATAGACGGAAGTCAAGGGGGCGAAGGGAGAAGCAGGACAAAGGGGGCAGGGGAAGGAGAGGGAGAGAATTCCTGCTTGATTTGAAGACGAGGAACAAATCCACCTTCCAGCACAAAACGGGATGGCATAGGCTCTGCCACATTGCAACCCGCAAGGCCTGATGTCAGGAGAGCCTCTTTGAAGAGTTCCAGAGTTTCTGGCACAGAACCCCTGCACCTGCAAATCTGGGGACTTTAAAAAACAGCAACATGAAATTAAGACAATTGAGGTCATGGGAAGGTGGAAAAACCCCTCATCTCTGTTCCTCTTGTTTATGTTTAGCTCCCTTCCTCTTTATTTTAATGATCTCAGGTAGAATGACAGAATCTTTTTGATGCTTTGGATTAGGAAATTCTCAAAAATATCCTCTTAGGAAAGGCTTTGTCTCCCTTACCTCTTTAGAGTCTGCCTTATGCACTCCATGGCACCCCCACGAGGTTGTGGGCCTACAGGATTGCTGGAAGCTGATAGATGTAGTCAAAGAAAGCAGCACGGTGGCAGAAAAAGCCCATTCAATACTATTGAAATGTGTTTCTTCTTTTCACTCTTGTTAGTTTACACCTATCGATGATACAGTCACACACAAGAGCCTCTTTTGTCTTATATACCAGCTGGTAGGATCCTAAAGGGGGAGAATGTGCTTTCTGGACAGCATCATACCAACAGAACCCTCTCTTTATTAATGGCATCTGGTTCAATTGCAAATATCTTAGCTAGAGATGGTAGTTCTTAAGTGGTGCGAGTGGCCCTGTTGCCTTTGGTCTACACACCTACACAACCTTTGTCATATCTGGCCATAATTTTTGCTGATTTTTTTAAATACTAGAAAAATCCATAAAAGGTTTTCTGTCAAGAATGTGTGTGGGCTGCTCTACCACGGGCAATACCATCAACACATTGGCACTCTGAAATACACAGACCAATGTCTAATGGCTGTCTCTCATTGCTAGTGTCTTGAACATTTTTCACATGCCAGTTGCCCTTCTCAGCACAAGCGCAAATTCTTGATATTGAAGATAATGCAATAATTGGAAAAGAATGAGTAGATTCTGTAGCCATGGATGCCAGAACATAGATTTAGAACTGGAGGAAAGATGGACAGATGCTCAGAAGAGACACATGGGTTGCCAATTATGGGGAAGTTAGAAATGCAAAGCTTATGCTATCCCTGCAGGGAATGACTTGCACACAGCCTTTCAAATGGAATACTGACGACACAGATCTCAGAATAATAAAAAAAGGAAACATACTGGAGCAACTATGTGGTGTTTTTAAGACAGGAATAACATCTTGGTTTTGTTTGCAGTGTTCTTCTCAGGGGAGGCCCTTAGGATACTTAACTGCCTTCAAGATAGGAAGTCATTACTATAACACAGTAATGCTTAATGAGTTATCTGGGATGGGTTGGGACGAAGGTGAAACAGAGCAGGTTTTCAAGAATAATGCAGCAAGAAGGAACCACATTAATTCCTGTAGTGTAGTACCATACTGTACTTATTTTAAAAAGTTATTTGAAAGGGAATAAGAGGCATTTTGACAGGATTTCACAAATCCCAAATTCATGCCACTGTCTTTTAAGCAATCCATGGTGTTTGAAGTGCAAATAAACAGTATACATACTAGTGGAGGTTGGCAGGGTTAGAGTTACACCAGTTCAGCAGCAAAACTCAGTTGCACAGGTGGCTGTACACCTTGATGAGACAAACAAGTTGTTAAGATACCTTGCTTTGCCAATTTTAATCCCACAATCCCCAACCAGCAGTTGACTTAGGGAAGGCAACTGAAATTAACAAGAGCATTACTGAAGAGACTAACAATCAAAAAAGCCACCTAACAATGGTGTCGATCAAAGTATTCTATGCTGTTTCCACAGTTTTTTGGTTTCTCATTTCATTGCTAAAGTAATATAATGTAAATGGATTAGAGTTCTGTGTCTAGTTGCGCTGGCTATATGACCATGGAGGATTGTCTGCGGCCAAACGCTGGCTCTATGGGTTGGAAACAGAGATGAGTACCGCCCCCTAGAGTCGGACACGAGTGGACAAATTGTCAAGGGGAACCTTTACCTTTCACAGAATGTGTTTCTATTGCTGTTTCAGTCTCCCAAATTTTCCTTTTTCTATATATTATACAGTGCTCCTATTTTCAGCCTGCTCATGTTTTCCATGTCTCAACTTCCAGGTGATGGAAACTGGGCTTGTTCCCATCTGTTTGAGATGTTGCAGGCTTTCTGAAAAGTAAGCCTTTCTCCAGCTCCCCCACTCAGTTTATGCTAGCAGCTGACAGCCTGGAAACTATTTCATGGGACAAGGAAAGCATAAAGATTTGAGAGCAAGGTCATCTGTATGCAGAATATGGACTGTGACTCAAAATATAGTGCTTTTTACTTATTACTTATCATGCTTTGTTTCTAATTGAGCCTGGCAAAGGAAAGATTGTCATTCATCTTTAGTAAAGGGAACACTTATCATTTAATGAAAACGGGCTTGTAGAAATCACTGACATTTGGGACTGTGTAATGGGTACTGTATGGATACAACACAGAGCTGCTTAGTTTGAAAGTGAATAGGAAGAAGGACAGGCATTGCTCCATGGTGCATCTCTCATCTTTTGGGCATTCATCACCTCAGGCTAAAGAAAACGTGGACAGGAGAGAAATGACACATTCAGCTTTTGCTCTGTATTGCTGTTTGTTTTGACATATCCACTACAGCCATCAGATGTCATATTTAGAAAGATGATTGGCCAGACAAAGATGGTTCTTTGAGCAAATTGTTGTACCGCATATTCTCATGTATTTCAAGACAGAAAACCCTTGGTCACTCATGAGGCTGATCACATGTATCCTCTTAAAGAACATTAGCTGATTTAGAATAATGGACCTCAAGCATATGCTCTTCTCTAACAGTCTGCAATCTCACATGCCAAGGGCTTCTATGGGCTAAGGATACCTACTAGAACCGTCCATAAGTGCCATGTTATGGAACTGAGGTTCAAACTGAACGTAAGGATCACTTCTCATCTCACATGTACCAAGGAAAAGGATGCCAAAGAAACACTAGCAGCCTCACTGACCGAGGGTGGTTTTGAACTATAAATGGCACCTTTGACTGGTGGGATAGGTATGATTGGCAGTCTTGTAAGAATCAAGAAGACTCTATTCAGGTCACAGATAAGAAAAGCAGCTAGGGTAGGATACATCATTACAGTATCGCAAAACCTAGGATCTAAGACATCCTCCTGCTGGGCAAAAGTTGCTCCTCTCTTTCTATCACTTGTTCACAAAGGAGCATGGACTTCACTGGTATTAATGGCCAAACATACCTTTAAAAGGCCAGTTCGCTAAAATTTGTGCCTCTTTAGAAAATCTTTAGAAACCCTTTAAAAATATTTTAGAAATCCATCACCAGAACTTCTCATCTGGAGCTCTTTTGTTGGCTGGTTTGGTGCTAATTTAATCTTAATTGAAAGTTTCCAGCTGGGAGACTCAGACAATGGGAAATGATTATGGTGGCGTGTTCTGGCAATGGTGAACAAGTAACCTAAGTCTAAAATCATAATGCACCCATCCAAAAATAAATAAATGACAGAACTTGAGAAATTTAATTTCATATTTTAGCCTTACATAGGGGAAGTTAAAATGATATTTTGCCTTTGTTACATGTCTGAAACACCACTGGGGAAAAGCCTGCTTCAAAACTGGGAAGTCATTTAATAGCTTTTAAAAATAAATTAGTCGGAGAAAATGATTCTAAAATAGTTATCTCATTTTGCCATGGATTTTAGAGGGGAGAATGTCTCCCAACCTGTCCATTTATCCTCTGGGAGAATCAAGGTTTTCTCTTCCTCGTTTCATCTCACTCTTTTTTTTGGGGGGGAGGTGCAGCAGTGTCTCCAGGCAGGACAGATGGAAAGAAATACAGAGGGAATGGACTGAGAAGATGAATTAAAAAATCTTTACAAGGGGGCATCTGACATGGGTAGCTGGGTCTTGTGTGGGAAACTACATGCATCACAACTGGGCAGGAAGGGGAAGCATGGTGCCCTCCGGACAAAACCTGAAGTGACATGCTGGGAGCAGCCAATTGAATACACTGGGGGAGGGAGTGTATTACAATGGTGTACATTGGTGCATAGGAATAAAAGAGCCACACAATCCAGATGTAAACCCACTGCTAGTGGAGATCATGGTCCCAGGCAGCTGGATGCGAAGCATCTCCTCTTTGGCAGGAATGGAGTCTTTGCAACCATAGACAGCAGGAAAGAACACAAGAGGCTGAAAAAGGATTCTGTTAATGTTTTAGGAGGTGGTATTGGGGAAAAAAATGCATAGTTCAATTTCCGGTTTCCTCCTGGTATGTCACAGTTCATTAAAAACACAAAAAGCAGCATTTGTAACACATCATACAGACTTCTCAGAATCATATGACTTATCTGCGAAGGAAGCCTCATGACAACCTATCCAATCAGAGACACACCAGAAGGTACAAGTCATCTTAAAAACTTGTATGTTCCCTTCGTTTAACTATGGTTGGGTCTTAGCTGGCAAACAGCTCTATTTCCTCCAATTGGAAAAAGGGCAGTCAAATCAGAGCATGCCATTTCTTTCTCTACCCCTGTGGTCGCAACATGAAACTGTGTGGCTTCACGCGTTCCCCTTCCTACTCCCAGAGACCTCTCACCTTGAGGGGCATTAGGGAAAGGTGCCAGTTTTCAAGGTGCCAATTTGACTACTTAGTTTAATGCAAAAATACTGCCCGCACAGACGGGCTGACCCTCTCCACTGTCGGATCCCACACGGCTCTTGTGGCACTCTTCTCCCAGAGCACAACGGCACAACACAGCTGCGACACTTCCGTTGAAACTAGGGCTTTGTGCTTGCAGGGTGAGGGGTCCTGCAGTGTCATTGGGGTATTGGCTGCATGGGTGGTCAATCCAGAAACCTGCTTTTTCAGACTGGAGGGTTCAGTCCAGGAGCTGAAACGACTTCTGTGGTGGCAAGAAGGTCTTGACCAGGAACACCTGCAATGAGCCACAAAACCCTTCTGGGCCTGTCCTTTGGGTGGCCACAGCTATGGACACAGTAAGCTCTCCCCTCCCGTAATGTCTTTGGCCACTTTGCTTCCCAGCCGGGGCACCCAAGACAGCTCTCTGGAGCTTCCCAATCAGCTTCAGTCCCCTTCAGTTGTTAGCAGCGTCGGTTCCTGCCATCTTTGCCCTGAGGGTTGGTGCCATTCACGGTGATGTAGTTAAGGCGTGGAGGGCGCTGGTTGGGATGTGAGACTTTCTTAGGGATACCAGTTTGGTTGGAGGTGATAGAAAGAGAGGAGAACTCACTGGGGCCTGAGGGAGGAGAAAAGGACCATTAGTGGAGCCAATATATGTTTGCACTCATAATCAAATACAGTTTTGACATACTACAGTGCATCGCTTCTCCTCAAGGCTTTCCATGACGCAGGGGGCCTCCTGGCTAGACCTTTCTTGTCCACAGTAGAGTACAAGGCCTCCAGGCCTTGAACCCTCGTGTGTCTTTCCTCTGCTGCTTCCTTTTTTCTTACTTCAGAGAATCCACTCAAACAGGAAAGATGGAACGGCACCTTGGAACAATAGCGCTAAAAGCACCCACAGTTCCACTCACTTTCATATCATTCAAACGGCTTTCAGTCCAATAGTGCGACCCTTGCCACTTCCCAACCTTCAAGGATGTGCTGGCATGTTTCTAACCAGATAAACAGAAGATGGGGCCACATCAAGTGCACTGGAGCACAGAGGTTTACCGTGAATCAATGGCACCTGATGTACTGCTGTAACTCATGGCCGTTTGCTAAAATAACAGGGAATATGAGGGTGGGCCTCAGGTTCACTCAGGCTCACGTACCTGATGGTGGCAGAGCTGCCGGAAGTCTCACCCGGGATAACTGCCCTGCAGCTTTTCCAGTGCTGCGGGAGTTGTGTGTCATCCCCATCCCCATCATCTTGTGCTCAGAACTGCTTTCTAGTGGATGACGGCGGCCAGTGTTGTTCTTTGGACACGGGAGCTGCAAGAGGGGGAAACACGGAGGACACACAGACTGAGAAGGTGTTTTTCAGGTAGGGGATCTCTCTTAACACAGCATGACCTATTAATACAGTGACTTGGAAGTGGGAAGCCCATTGTATACTCTGCACGACCTGGGGGCATTTGCTGGTAACTGTGCCAGGCATGTATTCTGCAAGAACAGATTTCTCTATGGAATACAGGAGGAATTCGTTTCACTTCCAATAAAAGCCTTCCACGAGTGGGCAACACATGCAAGGGATAAACCCCAAGTACAGTGATGTTCAGCAAACCAGGCACAAGCACAGTGACATGTACTTTCATGTCCAAACATGTATCCTATACACGCATATTCCATCTCTCCCCAAACACTCTTTCTTGTGCACATGCACAAGCATCCTTCCTGGCTCCGTGGTCTTCAGGACGGCTGGTGGAGGAAGAGTGTGCCTGGGGGGAGGTTGCAACCTCTTCCCACCCTGGGATCCTCTTGCTTCCTGCTGCTAATCATAGCTGAGAAACTGTGAGTTTGATTGGGGGGGGGTCTACTGGGGTTGTGGCTTTTACCTTCCCTTCAGCACTTTTTCTCCCCTCCCAATAATCCCAATCAATTTGGTTGTTTCCCTTCTTCTAGCAGCACTGAGCAAGCCGCAGTCTTCAGGTTGGTTGGTTTGTTTTTGGAGAGGAGAGAAAAGGCTTTAAAATTCTCCCTTAGCCCCCAGCAATCCTGAACAAGGTCACAGAGGAGAAGTAGCAGCAGAAAGTAACAACGGTCTCTTCCCTGCCACCCAGCTAGTGGCTGATCTGTTGGCTGTTGAGGAAAAGTGGGCAATCACGTTGATGGCAGGAGGACATTTTTAGGAATTAAATGTTTCCCATTTCCTTCCCGGGACTCCCACAAAATGAAATGGATTACTTGCATGTCAGGCATTTCCCCTGCATTCACCCTTTTGCCAGGCATCACTTAGAGAACAGCACTGTGGTCATTACAGTACTCATACAAACCCTCTATGCATGCTTTTTTCAACACTTCTGCGGTGTTCAAAATGGGTACAGTAGGCAGTCAAGGAGCTACAGCCTGGGTAGGCATTTTTCCAGCCGAGACCCTCGGAGTGTTTCGGGGGCATCTCAGGTGAGCTTTCCCACCATGTGAAGGAAATAAATCTGAAAGCTCAGTGTGTATTTCATGAGAAGCAAGGCTGGGGTTGGAGCACTGGGTGGCACCAGAAAAGCCTGCTTTTTGGCAAAGTTCTTCTGATGGTAAACCTGCAGGCTGCTAGTGAAACTTCACCCAGGAGAAACACCACTATGGAAGTTCATTCTGCCTCACAACTAGCTTGGGACAAGCAGTTGGGTAGCCGCCTCAGTTTGCTCCCATGAAGTGGAGAAGCCTGACTCTAATTAGTTGTTGTCCTCGGATACGGAAAGACATACTCTGTGGCCGGTGACCTCAAAGGATCGTGACCGTCGCTTCCTCCTTTTGGCCTCTAGCGAGTCTTCCCTCTTCTCAAGCTTCTTGCCTCCCTTTTTGCTGGCCCGAAGCCAGGGTCCAGGGGAGCGCCTGGGGGCGTTCTTCCTTGAGATGGTCTCCCCGGTGCTGGTGGACAGGTTGTCCTCACTGATGGCGTGCTGCAGGCTGGGGCTGGCCGGCTGGCCGAGAGCGGGTGTCTCCTGGCCGAGAGGGTCCTCGCTCCCGCTCAAAGAGTGCAGGGACAGGCTGCTGTGCTCCTTGGCTGGCTCCCGCAGATTCAGCCGGTTGGACTCCAGCACTCGGGAGCGCCGCCTGGCGGCCTTGACAGTGATGTTTTTGGTACCACTAACTATTTCCTTGCGTTCTGCTAATGGATGCATTAGAGAAAGAGAAAGCACTGTTAAAAGGTACATAAAACATATTTCCATTTATGCTTCATTGGCCCATCTTTTGTGCCAGGCAGAGAGCTGAGCAGCCTGATGAAGGCAAATAGCAGCTTAGAAAGGCAAGGTTGCAAAAGAAAGATAGGGTGCAATCAGCATCTGATCGTGCTGGAAAGGGAGTGATCCACCTTAAAGCAACCCTTCCATGTGTGCAGGAATAGCTCCAGCCCAGCCCAGCCCAGCCCAGCCCAGCCCCCCAAAAGTGCAGGAATAGCTCCAGCCCAGCCCAGCCCCCCAAAAAGAGTATTTCTGCCTCTGGACACACACAAAAAAGGTCCAGCTTGGGTATGGAGGAGGGTCGGGCTGGTTTGCAAGCTCTTGTGTCTTATCTGATCTTTGGGAAAGAGCTTGCACTGGACTGTGCCACAACTGGTCCAAATGTGAGCGATGTCTCCATCAGATCAAACCCCCGGCCCCGACTTTTCAATAGCACAAAACTGAAGAGGGTCCTTTCTCTGCATGTAGGGCTGAACAAAGTGGTCACGGTCACTCACTCCCACATTGGAATCTACAACTTTTCCTAAATTCTGATGAAAACTAGAGTTAATGTAATCCTATTGCTCCCACAGAATCTACCTCAGCCACTGACACCTCACGGCATGCTTCAAAGCAGGCTGAGGGGAACGGGAGGGAAACATTTAACCCTTAGATGATTAGTTACCTCCATGTGTCAGGATGCCGTCTGAACAGTGATCACTGCTGTCAGGGGAGGAGTTTCGTTGGCTACTCAAGCTAACCAGACTGTCTCGGGGTGCATACTGCAGAGAGAGAGAAAAAAGAAGAAAAAGGAGGAGAGGGCAAATCAAAACAGAAGCAACTTCCACTAGAGCTGATTGCATGATTACACGCAAAGCAACACACTTTTCTCTCTCTCTTTTTTTTTCTTTGCTATTCCATCTTGGTAATCCTCTCTTTAAATTAATTGTTTTAAATTGAAATTTGTAATTTTATGATTTTATATATTTTTATACTGTTTTGTTTTATTTTGTAAGCCGCCCCGAGTAGACATGGTCTAGAGGGGCGGGGTAAAAATCGAATAAATAAATAAATAAATAAATTTTGATGGCAGATGCTGAGGCGGTAGCAAATGGGAGTCAACCAGTGCACTATTCCAAGGATTTCCACCACTATCATACGCTGACTGTGGATTCACAGAAACATAGAATAGGGTTGGAAGAGGCCTTTAAGGCTATTGACCCCAGCCCTCTGCTCAAAGCAGGAATCCAGATCAAAGCAGATCTGACAGACGGTTGTCCAATTTTATCTTGAATGCCTCCAGTATTGGAGCGCTCACCACCTCCCGAGGTAATTGGTTCATTGTCATATTGTCATACTGCCTTAACAGTTAAGAAATGTTTCCTAATATCCAGCCAAAATTTGGCTTCCTGTAATTTGAGCCTATTATTACATACACTCTGGGATGATGGAGAACAGATCCTGCCCCTCCTCTGTATAACTATCATTCAACTATTTGAAAAGTGCTATTGTGTCTCCACTCCGTCTTCTTTTCTCAAGGCTAAACATGCCCAGTTCTTTCAGTCTTTCCTCAAAGGGCTTGGTTTCCAATCCCCAATCATCCTTGTTGCCCTCCTCTGAACTTATTCCAATTTATGGGCATCCTTCTTAAAGTGAGATTTCCAGAACTGAACACAGTACGCAAGATGAGGTCCAGTGAGGGCTGTATGGAGGGAAATGAGTGTCTCATGGGATTTGGAGACTATACTTATGTTAATGTACCCTAAAATCGCATCTGCCTTTTTTGCAGCCACATTTCATTGTTGGCTCTTATCCAGTTTTTGATCTACAAGAACTCCAAGATCCTTCTCACTCATAGTATAACTGAGTCAAATATCCTCCATCTTGTAACTGTAAATGTGTTTTTCCCCATAGGTGAAATTATCCCTGTTAAATTTCATTCTGTTGTTTTCAGCCCAGTACTCAAGCCTATCAAGTTCTTTTTGAATTTTGTTCCTGTCTTCCAAGATATTAGCTATTCCATCCAATTTTGTGTCATCTGGAAATCTGATAAGCATTCCATGCACTCTCTCATTCAAGTCATTAATAAAAATGTTGAAGAGCACTGGAGCCAGCACAGAGCCTTGGGGTACATTGTTTGTTACCACCTCCTGGTTTGAGGAAGGAGCCGCTCAAACTCTGAGTATGATTCTGTAACCAATTGTGTATCCACCTGACAGTTGTTCTACAGTATTTAGCCCATGCCCAGTTAGCTTGCTAATCAGAATATCATGGGACACTTCGTCAGAGGCTTTGCTGAAGTCAAGATATATCGTGTCTACAGCATTCCAACTGTCTATCAGGGAAGTTACCGGGTCAAAAAATGAGATAGGATTAATCTGGCAGGATTTGTTCCCAATTGCTGAATTTCCTCGTCTTTCAGCCCAGAAGGGTGTTCTGTAAATGTGGCTGTGCTAGGCAACTGGAGGTCTCTGCAGAGCCCCTCCACTATGAAACACTGTCTCACTGCACCTAAAGGGAGCCATGACCCCTCTGCGTATCCGGCTCGTCCCTCTCTCTTGCTCCCACCTCTTGACTGATCATGCCGTTGACACGGATAGGGGGCGGGGCCACTACGGCTGAATTCTTGATCCGTCGAGCCCGGGGACTGGTCTTGAACACCTGACTTGCTTCACCACTGAAAAAAACAGAAACATGGAAAGAAAGGCAGCTTGTTAATACTCGTGCTTGAGTGCAAAGCCAAACGAAAACTTTAGGTACAGACACTCATTGCCACTAAACAGAGCAGCCTCGGTGTGATTACTGTAGGAGGAGCGTGGAGGAGAACCTTTCACCATTTTTGAGGAGTAACGTCAGCTGCTTTCCCCCTGAGGTGATAAGGTTCTCAAAGCTCTGCTGTTGGGCAGTGATTCAGGACCCCAGATGCAGTTGGGGATCCAAGAGGGAGAACCACCCAACGTTTTCCCTGAGAGGGCAAAAATGTACACTCATACCCCCCCTCCCAATACATACATTTACTGAGCATCTCACTTTTTCCATGTGGCTTTGCAGGCACTCCAGCAGCAACTGGGGTTTATACTTAGGAACCAACATTGCTTTTGCTTTAATTCAGCCACAAAGCAGTTTGCTTGCAAAAGATCTTTGACTCAGCCTTGCCATTTCCGGTACCTGAGAAAGGGTGGGCAAGGCCTTCGCTTGAGATAAGCCGAAAATGCACAATTAACTTGAGAGAATTAGCCTGAATGGTTTACTGGGTTAAGGCAGCTTGACCAGGAACAGAATATGCTTGTCATCCTGCTCTCCTCCTTCAGGAGGGAAGGGAGGGTTTGTTTTTACGCTTTTGCTAAGTTCTCCAGCTGTTTGCAAGGAGCAGTTCAGCTCCAGTAATCAGCTGTATCTGTCATGCCTTGAACAGGTGCCTGAGAGCAGTAGGATCTAAGTGCCAGCAATGGCTGATTAGCAAGCCGATCAAGTATGTCCTCCATCTGGAGACAGATGTTTCAAGGTTTGATACAATCCTGAAAACCTGGAGGTTTGCAAAAAAAAAAATGCCTTTCTGGCAGAATGTATGCCCTCAAAAGAAACAGCTTAACAAGATGAAATCAGTACTCAGGCTGAGAACTGTATTGAGCATGCCTAGCTTCATGCCGTTCCCCGCCCCCCCCTTCAAAGAACAGGCAGCAGCCGCTGGACGCCGTTCTGTGACAAATCATTTCAAGGGATAAGAGACACAGGAAAAACAGGCTCAAGGCTGGTCTGATTTCTCTGAAGCCTGGGGGCTTCCTGGCGTGTTGCATATCTAGAATACACGGACGTACACTCACAAAACGTGCTCCATGGGCTATAAGGAACAATCAGGACATCTCCACAAAACACGGAGAGAAACGGATGAGAAATTTAGCGGTAAAGGGAATAATATTTGGTGATAGGTAAGACCGCAGAGGCCCATATTAAAGAGACTAAGCTAAAAGAACGCGATGGTGGAAAGACCTGAGAGAAAGAGAGGACCTGGGGAATGTAAAGACTGGAACAGCGGAGAAGCAACAGCATGGAGTGGACTGGATGTACTTATCTGCTGGGCAACCTTGCACACGTCCACTTGTCTGATGAGTTAACCTGCTCTTTCCCTAAAAAAAGGTCCAGTAACCTTCCTGGGACAGAAATAACAGACATTTTGTTTCTAATGTAAATTCCTGTTCTAAAAATCCCATGGAGGGCACTTTTACTTGGGGATGGTGCTTCTCACTGGAAGGTTTATGGCTAACTGCTATTTTCTCTGGGGAGGAGCCATCCTGCCTTTCCCAGATTTGGTGAGCCTGTTTCAGTTTCAAGCTGAAAAGAGCTTCAAGCAACCCATGTCACACATTTCCAGGAGATATCCAAGCAGACCTTACCTTTCCGTCTCAGGAACGAGGGGTGGGAGAGTAGCCCTCCGGGAATCCTGCCATGGCTGCTGCTGATATTCTGAGCCTTGTGTCCTTACACTCTCTTGGTCAGAATCCACGACATTTTCCACTGTTAGTGGGGGAAGCTTTGGCACAGACGTATCCTTTACGACAGAAACCATACATGCGGTGATAACTGTCCAGTTATAGGTAAAAGCAACACAACAATGCATTCTCTACCCAAAACCCATAGCTGATAAAATCAGTTTAGGTAAGAAGGTGATAAGGTGGCTTAAAGACACAAGAAACGCCTTCCTTGGCCTGTCCTTCCGTGTCTCTGGATTTCAGCCTCTAACCATTTTCTGAAGATTCCACTCAAGGGCAGTAATTTGTATAAGTATAAAAAGAGAACAAAGATACATTGTAAGGACTGCCTCTCATTTGAATTCCACAGAAGGAAGTTAGATAGTTTAGTTCTGGCCTTAAAGCATAAGAACAAGTGGGTCAGAGCCAGACAAGAATTACTAAGGTGTTACTAGAGCAAACAAGCAAGCAAGTGCCACCAAGACTAATTGAGGTAATCAAGAATGTCCTAACTATTGTATAAAAACAAGCCAGTGCAATATATAACGGGAACAATACAGTATATGCATTCCAATGCAAAGAAGAGTGTTCAGAGCTCTACACTAGAAAAACCAAACAGCCGCTGAACAGGGGAATGGCCCACTAGAGGAGGGGCAATGGCTCAGGACCACAATCAGCAGTATTCCTTCATTTGAAAGACAACATTTGATGACCAAGATGTACTCATTTTGGACCAAGAAGATAAGTGCTTTGAGAGAGGGGTCAGAGAGGCCATACATGGGCTTATAGAAAAGGCCTTGGGTACAATCTGTCTCTTATTTATCATGCTGCCCTTTCATCTGTCCCCAGAAAGATTAGAACCACACAAACCAGAAAGACTGCTGTTAATGACCGTAAACAACCCATGACAATGGATGGAGAAGGATTGCAGAAGTGGGATTAACCCTCACACCCAGTCCTTTGTCCTTAAAGGTAAAGGTAAAGTTTCCCCTTGACAATTTTTGTCCAGTCGTGTTCGACTCTAGGGGGCGGTGCTCATCCCCGTTTCCAAGCCATAGAGCCAGCGTTTGTCCGAAAACAGTTTCCGTGGTCACATGGCCAGTGCGACTTAGACACGGAACGCTGTTACCTTCCCACTGAGGTGGTCCCTATTTATCTACTTGCATTTGCATGCTTTCGAACCGCTA